GGTTCCTCTAAGGGTTCCTCTTAGGGTCCCCTCAGGTTCCTCTTAGGGTCCCATCAGGTTCCTCTAAGGGTTCCTCTTAGGGTCCCCTCAGGTTTCTCTTAGGGTCCCATCAGGTTCCTCTTAGGGTGCCTCTTAGGGTCCCATCAGGTTTCTCTAAGGGTCTAAGTGTGTGCAGCCACCAGGCGGTATTTATTAGCCAGTAACTAAATGTAGATTAATATAAAGTCTTAATAAGGATAGATATTCTAACGTGTGAGTGACACCATCTCTGCTCCTCTTCCTCTTTTTTTTTCCTAAAATGCGCAAAGCAGACAAGCGGAGAGCTCAGCGTCACGCACGCGCTTCCTCACTCACCGTGGCCGAGCAGAGGCCGCTGTCCGTCAGCGTCAGGTGGTGCGGCTCCCACCTCCGCAGGTACTTGGAGGTGAGCAGCTTGCTGAGGAAGGTGCGTGGGTGTTTGACCACGCAGACCTGGATGTCGCCTTCGTGCAGCAGCTTGTAGCGCATGCCGCTGCTGCCGCAGGGGTGCAGGGCCCTCCGGCAGGAGCCCGCGGCCGGCTTGGTGTTGTTGTGGCCCTCAGACATGTCCCCCAGTAGAGGCTTGCTCTCCTCGCATTGGTAGAACTGGTTGTTGTGCAGCTCGTTGGGGGGGCCGTTGCTGCTGTTCACATCCATTTCCCAGTCCTCCCAGTATAGACTGGCCCCACAGATTGATCGGACGGTCGTTGATGATGGGGGAGGGAGGGGGAGGAGGGGAGTCCCACCAGGACGTCAGATCTCGTCCAGATGTTTCAGCCTTTTAATGACTCCCGACACAATAATCCACCATTTTCCTCTGCGTGAACAGACTCCACGGTGCGCGTGCCCCCACCCCACGGACACAGAGCCGTTCTCAAAGAGTGAGGGCCATGGCCCGATCCAGTGGGTCCGCCTGGAAGCCGAGCTCGGTAAATCCTCGGTTCGGTTCGACTTCGGTCCAGAGACTCGGAGATTCAGGAAAACATTTCTGCCTCGGTTCGTCTTTCTGTTCCTGCTGACCGTCTCCGTGTAAAGAGGAGCCAGCGCGCGCTGTCATTGGCTGTTGTAAGTCATGTGACGCAGGACTGACGTCAATTGGGAGGCGAGCGGATGAGCTGTGCGTCTTTTGTGCCCGAGTGTCTGCTGTGGGCGCGCACACGGCTCTCCCTTCTTGAGCACGCGCAGGGAAAAAAAAGAGAGTTCAAATGAACTCCTCCTCTTGAAAAGAGTTTACGGGATGTGAGATCATGTTGCTACACACACTGTACAGTAGGGGGCGGTATGCATCTTAAAGGTGCTTTACATCCGCCATAATAGAAAAGAAGAAGAACACCTCCCACTCTACCTGGAAATGACGCTTATTGGCATGATTCGCATCATTTCCAGCGAATCTGAAGAAAACAGAGGAATACTGTTGATTGGTGTTTCGAAGTTTTCCAAATAAAATATCAATTTTTTTAAATTCAAAACTCAGATCGGTTTTGATTAATAGTAAATGACTCGTTGATCGTTAAAGACTCTTTTTATTAAACATTTTTGATATTGAGAAATATTAAACCAAACCTCCTCAGGGTTTTTGATAAGAATGTTAAAACCTGAGCCTGAATAAAAAGAAAAGTATCACCAATAGGTTATTTCTGCATAGAATCCATCAGTTTTAACTCTTAAATTCCTGTTTAAGTTTATTATCTTCTCGTATTTCAGCTTTATTTCCACCAGTTTAAAGCCACAACATTTGTTTAGTGGATCCTTTGTGAAAGTTAAATATATTTTTACTATATTTTTTATTTTTCCATTTACACTAATCTTTTGACAGGAATCTATTCATTTTTTATATTTCTGTATTTTATTTTCTTTGTTTAGATTTATATTAAATTATTTAAAGGTAAAGTGCATACGGGCTGCATTCTAAACATTAAATGTCGCTGAAATTTACACATTGTGGCTTTACGAAAAGTAATCTTTTTATAAATGACCCAGTGTGTCTCATTTGGGATAAAACGAAGAAAAATCTGTTTTTCATCTAAAAATCTTGCCTTATCTCTGTGTCTGGATGTCAGCCATAACCCCTAACCCCTCCATCACTATATAGAGCCAGGACAATATAGTGGACTTTATAGCGAGCTCAGTTAACTCATCCTTCAGACAGATAATCACTTTTTTTCTCTCCCTGTTGGTCACGTGAACCGGCTCCTCTTACAATGCCTGCTCCATCTTTGTTCTCTCTGGCCCCCAGAACAAATCCCATGATTCTTTGCGAGGAGAGCTTTTACAAGACATTTTGCGGTATAGCTGCCCGTCTAATGACCATGGATAATTGCTACTTTTCAAAGTGCATTGTAGTTCACTACTTTTTCATCCACTAGATGTGCAGACACTGCTAAAATGGCATACCCACTATAGAGATCTATGGAGGGGTTAAGGCATACATTCAGACACATGCTTTCTCTAATAATAATAATAATAATAATAATTGAAGTTTATTGATCTTACATCTGGAAATTTACCTCTGCATTTAACCCATCCCCTTGGGGAGCAGTGGGCTGCCGTTGTGGGGCGCCCGGGGAGCAATTGGGGTTAAGGGTCTTTGCTCAGAGTGGCAGTCTGTGGGAATGGGGCTCGAACTCAGAACCTCAGGTTTCCAAGCTCTATGCCCTAACCACTAGGCCGCAACCCCCCTAAATAATAGAAAACAACTTCTAAATAAAGTTATTGTTGCAATTATGTGTGGTATTGATGTGATTTGGAACCAGGTGAGCTCTGTCACAGAGGAAGACGTCCTGACTCCTGTCCTCCAGGGTCTCTCTTAGCTCTGTCCATGAAATCTCCATCTGACCTTTGTAGCCTTGAGATGACATGTGTTGTGAATTGGCACTATATAAATAAGCTGAATTGAAATTGAATTGTTCTGACATGGATCCAGTTAAAGCGGTTTGGTCTAGGAGCATTTCTGAGTGATCCATCCATTAAAACACAATGGCCTCTGAAATGGGTACAAATGGGGCAGAAGGCTTCTTTCCAGCCTGTCCCAGAGGCCTCCAAGCTCCTCAAACGGAGGATCAACCTTGTGACGACATCTCCGGCCTGCAAATGCCTTCCAGCTGACGCAGCTGTGACTCTCCTCCCTGCAGGTTGAAACAGGCCGGCTGTCTGCAGGTGCTGTCAGCTCTTAGTGAGTCAGAGCGATAAGGATCCAGAAGAATGACGAATGCCAAGCGTCACAGAGGCAGATTACTTGGAATCCATGGAAGTGCCCATAAAACACCTGACAGAGATTTCCTAATCTGGTGTCTGTGTAAATATTCTAGATTATATTCCTTGGAAATTCCCCTTCAGATCAGGCTCCTCATGATGTCTCACTCATCGCCATGGTCCTCATTTATATCCTGCTGCCTGTTCCTGAGGCTCTGAAATGTTTTCAGGATTTTTCAGGAAGTGAATTTAAAAACCAAAGAACTAGTTTAACCAAAAGTGTTTTACAAAACTGAACAGAAAATGATCTACCACTCTTTGCTGTGTTGGTAAGCAGATAAACTCCTGGAGGTTATGTCAGATTTCTACCAAATTTCTGCTCAGTCATGTCTGATTATTAGAACCACGGTGAGGGAAACCAGGATCTTCATCCAACTTTGATCAAAACCTCTCTGCTCTAGTTCCAGTTAGGCTAAAATTAACTGACAGAGATCCAAACTGAGCAATAAGAGGAGGTCCATGGTGGTGGTTCTGGTTCCAATCAGCAATCAGCTCCAATCATCTCCAGCTGCTCTGAGGACCCTATAAAAGCAGCTCCTGCAGGTTGGAG